CCCATGAGAAGAGCCTCATGACCAAGGGGAGCCAAGATCTACTCAAGCACCTGGAGCTAATGTCCAAGAGCAGGAAGGACGGGCACAGAGAAGCAGTCTCAGTGCCAGCATCAGGAAGCAAACACGAGGATGCTGGGAAGACGTCTGCCTAAGAACAGCTCAGGACTTCAGCTCCCAGTGAAAGTGCAGAGGGTGAGTGGACGCCGCATTTACAGACAAATTTTTATCGCCCACAGACCAGGAGATACCCAGGCAGAGGGGTCGCCAGCGCCGCAGTCCCGGCCGGTGCGGCTGTTTTGGCCCCCGTGGGGCTGATTCCGCCCGCGCGGCTGCTGTGACCACGCCCTGTTGCTGCGGTTCTCCGTACAAAAGCCACTGGTCTGGGAGCCCTCTTAGCTGGCGATCACAGCCCTGAGACGGCAGAGTTGCCCATTCATCTGAAATAGCGAGCCAGGCCAGGAGATTCCTAGGCAAAAAATCCGCCAGGAGCCGGCTCCGCTGTTTGAGCCGACTCCGTGAGTCGCAGCACGGGAGATCCCGGCGCCTTTTCAACAAGCGACTGGAACGCGGGGTCATTCAACTTAAAAAATAAAAGAAAAGACTCTGAGTCAGGGAGCCAGGTGATCAGGCTTGTTGGTCCCACCCCCCCACCCCCAACAACAACGAAAACAAAAACAGTAATTGAAAACCCTCTGGGTTGAGCCCTTCACAGCAAGCACAGCTGAACCCGGGACGGTCCGGCTCGGTGGGGGAGGGGCTTCCGCCATTACTGAGACTCTCCACCACTACGGAGGCAGGCCGCCATCGCAGAGGCAACCCGCCATTGCCGAGGCAACCTGCTACAACAGAGAGAGTCCGCCATAACAGAGGCGGGGCCACCGTTGCTGAGACAGTTCTAACTATGCCCATATAAACAGGACTGCAGGGAAGAGCACAGGGCAGCTGGGCAGAGCCCACAGCAGCTCAGCAAAGCCTCTGCAGGCAGACAGTGGCCAGGTGGGCTGATAGCTGGGCGGGGCAGACCTGAAAGAAAAATCAAAAAAGGCAGTAGCACAACGGAAACTCATAAAGCCCCAACTCCCCAGGACAGAACACCTGGGAACAAAAAGTGCTTTATGAGTTCAGCTGCAGCAGACCTAAACGTACCTGCCCAGCAGCTCTGAACAACGGCGCTCACAGCTCAGGACTTAAGCCCCAATAAAAGATAGACTGTCTCCTCAAGTAGCTCCCTGACGCCCATAGATCCAAAGACTCACCTCATAAAGGAGAGAACTGACTGACAGTTGGCGAGCATCCTTCTGGGACAAAGATAATGGAAGAGGAAACTGGTAGCAACCCTTACTGTTCTGCAGCTGCTGCAGGTGATCCCCAGGCAAGCAGGGCCTGGAGAGGACCTCAGCAGTCCTACAGCAGAGGGGCCAGACTGTTAGAAGGAAAGCTTTAAAAAAAAAAAAAGAAGAAGAAGAAGAAGTAACTTCAGCACCCACGAACTGGAAGCTCACTCAGAGACCCAATCTGAAAGACAGTAACTACAAGGACAACAGATGAATAAACCCACAAAAATGGGAAGAAACCAGCGCAAAAAGGATGAAACCTCCCGAAACCAGAACACCTCTCCTCCTAAAAGGGATCACAACTCCTCACCAGCAAGGGAACCAGATTGGATGGAGAAGGAGGGTGATGAAATGACAGAATCAGACTTCAGAAGGTGGATAGTAAGAAACTACAGTGAGGTAAAAGAACATGTTCTAAACCAACGCAAAGAAACTAGGAACCTTGAAAAAAGATTGGACGAAATGCTACTGAGAATGGACAGCATAGAGAGGAATATAAGTGAATTGATGGAGCTGAAAAACACAACACAAGAACTTCGTGAAGCATGCACAAGCTTCAACAGCTGAATTGACCAAGCAGAAGAAAGGATATCAGAGGTCGAAGATCAACTCAATGAAATAAAAAGAGAAGGCAAGAACAGAGGAAAAAAGCGCAAAAAGGAATGAACAAAATCTTCAAGAAATGTGGGACTATGTGAAAAGACCTAATCTATGTTTGATAGGTGTACCTGAATGTGATGAAGAGAATGAATCCAAGCTGGAAAATACTCTTCAGGATATTATCCAGGAAAACTTCCCCAACCTAGCAAGGCAGGCCAATATTCAAATCCAGGAAATACAGAGAACACCACAAAGATATTCCTCAAGAAGAGCAACCCCAAGGCACATAATCATCAGATTCACCAGGGTTGAAATGAAGGAGAAAATGCTAAGGGCAGCCAGAGAGAAAGGTCGGGTTACCCACAAAGGGAAGCCCATTAGACTCACAGCAGATCTCTCAGCAGAAACCCTACAAGCCAGAAGAGATTGGGGGCCAATATTCAACATCCTTAAAGAAAAGAACTTTCAACCCAGAATCTCCTATCCAGCCAAACTAAGCTTCATAAGTGAAGGAAAAATAAAATCTTTGCGAACAAGCAAGTACTCAGAGATTTCATCACCACCAAACCTGCTCTACAAGAACTTCTGAAAGAGGCTCTACACATATAAAGGAACAACCAGTACCAGCCACTCCAAAAACACACCAAATGGTAAAAGAGCATCAACACAATCAAGAATCTGCATCAACTAACCAACAAAACAGCCAGGTAGCATCAAAATGACAGTATCAAATTCACACATAACAATAATATCCCTAAATGTAAATGGACTAAATGCCCCAATCAAAAGACACAGACTGGCAAATTGGATAAAAAGCCAAAACCCATCAGTGTGCTGTATCCAGGAAACCCATCTTACATGCAAGGATACACAAAGGCTCAAAATAAAGGGATGAAGGAAGATCTACCAAGCAAATGGAGAGCAAAAAAAAAAAGCAGGAGTTGCAATTCTCATCTCTGATAAAATAGATTTTAAAGCAACAAAGATCAAAAGAGACAAAGAAAGACATTACATAATGGTAAAAGGATCACTGCAACAAGAAGAGCTAACGATCCTAAATATATACGCACCCAATACAGGAGCACCCAGATACATAAGGCAAGTTCTGGAGAGGATGTGGAGAAATAGGAACACTTTTACACTGTTGGTGGGAGTGTAAATTAATTCAACCATTGTGGAAGACAGTGTGGTGATTCCTCAATGACCTAAAAATAGAAATCTCATTTGACCCAGCAATCCCATTACTGGGTATATATCCAAAGGATTATAAATCATTCTACTATAAGGACACATGCACACGAATGTTCACTGCAGCACTGTTTACAATAGTAAAGACCTGGAACCAACCCAAATGCCCAACAATGATAGACTGGATAGGGAAAATGTGGTACATATACACCATGGAATATTACACAGCCATCAAAAACGATGAGTTCACGTCCTTTGTAGGGACATGGATGAACCTGGAAACCATCATTCTCAGCAAACCGACACAAGAGCAGAAAATCAAACACCGCATGTTCTCACTCATAGGCGGGTGTTGAACAATAAGAACACATGGACACAGGGAGGGGAGCACTACACACTGGGGTCCATTGGGGGAAAATGGGGGAGGGACGGGGGGTGGGGAGGTGGGAAGAGATAGCATGGGGAGAAATGACAGATATAGGCAAGGGGACGGAAGGCAGAAAACCACACTGCCATGTGTGTACCTATGCAACAATCTTGCATGTTCTTCACATGTACCCCAAAACCTAAAATGCAATAAAAAAAAAAAAAAAAAGGAAGCAAACACAAATCACACAAATGCAGAACGGGGACACGGGTCTGCTGCAGGAGAGGCCACACCATTGCTCAACAAGTCAAAGCCAGAGAGTGACAGGGTGGGCTGGGGAGGGGGCTGCTAGATTCACAGAGACCGAGGGAACTCAGGTCTCCTTTGAATCCTGATTAGAAAGAATGTTCTTCAGAAGATGTTTCTGAGATAACTGGGAAAGTCTGCCTGCGGGTTGGGCTGGTTCACTTTGTCAGGTGTGGTGATGATGCTTGGGATTGCACGGAAACACCCCTATTGTTGCGAAGTCCATACTGAGGTGGATGAAATGACATATCTGGATTTTACTTTAAGATGCCCTGGCAAAGAAAGAGTAAAAGGACAGAGGAAGCAAATGGGCACATTTCAGTCAGTGGCAGAACCTGGTGGTGGGCCTGTGAGCCTCGCTGGCTCCAATCTCTACGTCTGGACATGTTTGAATTTTCATTTGATTTCATGATTATAGAAGAAAGGAAAGGTGGTAGAGAAAGGGGTGGGAGCCTAGGCCATGGAGGACAGGCTGGGAGAAACGCTCATGCCTCCAAACCCCTGCAGAAGGACCAGACTGGCCTAGTAGTCCGGGGCAGCTCAGGAGACAGCAGGGAGTCCAGGCAAGGGAGGTCGGAGCCACAGTGCAGGAGGTGGCAGTGCCCTGTACAGGCCTACCAGTGTGAGGCACATGCAGCTAGCTAGCTGCCTACCCTCCTTCCTCCTAATGGTGGCAGCAATGTGCCTTCCTTGTAGACCCTGATGGCCATATGGCAAATTTAGCTACTGGAATGTGGGCAGATATTGCTGGATGGGACTTTTGGGAAGAAACCTTTCCCTTAGAAAGGCTCAGTCAGCCAGAGGGTAGCTTTGGCCTTCCCTTGGTTCATTTTCTCTGCCTGGAATCAGATGTGATAAGGCTGGATCTGCAGCAGCCATTTTGTGAGCACGAGACAATCTTGTGGTTGAAAGCCCTAATTCCCTTCTGGTGGAGCAGAAAGACTTGCAGACCTGGTCACCTGAATGATTTAATTGAACTGCTGTTTGTGGAGCCTCAGGAAAGCCTGCACTGCCTCCCACATTTCTCATTAATAGAGGGAGCAATAAATCCTACTTCGTTTACGTGCCTGTTATTTCAAGTCTCTGTAACCCAACTCCTAACAGAAAAAGAAGCGTTTCCTTCTGCCCTTAGCTTTAGAGACCAGGGCAGAGAGGAGATTTGCCTCCCGCCAACCTGGAGTTCAGCCTCCCAGCTTGAAGGTTACCTTTGCTTTTTCTTGCATGTTCCTTTGGTTTGTCTTCAGTGGTTGACGAAGAGCTGATGCTCGAGGATTCCACACTGTTCTCTGGGGAGACACAAAAGTGAGGGCCACAGCAGTGACTCACCTGGCCCCGAGAGCTGTGAACACAGCCTGAGGCGGGGAACGTCTCAGACGCACAGGGGCTCAGCCTCAGCTCCCTCCCCTGTCAGACCGAGGGCTCTGCATCTGAGATAATCACACTGACTGCCGGGAAGTTGTGAGAATTGTGGGAGAAAAAAGGCCTGGGAATCCCTAGCACCTGCGCCTGCCGCACAGGTGTTTCGTGCCTTCCCTTTCCCATCCTTCAGGGTGCTCCTTAGGAGTAACAGTGCAGGGCTGTTTTACAGATGGACATACTGGGACCAAGGGAGGACAAGGACCCTGAGCCTCTGGCCCCGGCCTGGCCAGTGCCTTGCCTCCCAGGGACTTCCCGCAGGACTTGGATGGAAGCCCCTAAGACTCCACCTATTCAGGGAGCTCCCACCCCCTTTCCACTGTGAGAAGTGGTCCTACTGACCAAGCTGGGAAACCGGGGGTGTGCTGCCTGGAAGCCATAGCCTATTTTCTCTCCAAGCCCGGCAAGTCTCCCCGCCGGGGTGGGCTCCCCAGCACCCCGTTTCTTCAGGTGACTACTCAGATGTTACTGGCAGGTCCCCAGTGCCTTGTGTTTCTTTTCAGCTGATACCCACAGGGAAGGAGGGATGTGGCCCGACACTACCTCCACCCCCACCCAGGAATCCTTTGTAGCTCAGAGATCCTGGTCTGCACCTTCGGGGCAGGGGCTGCCAGAACGTGGTCTCTGGTGGGCTGCTCAGGGCGCCAGTCCTCCTGGGGGTCGGGGATGGGAGTGGGGGAGGGGCTGTGTGGTCCTGGAGTGAAACAGTGAGTAGGAAGACAGGGCTTCTCATGAGGTGGGGCTGTGATACCAAGGCCTGGGCCCTGAGCAGATGGTCACGGGGTGAGCGAAGACTGTGGGAGTCTTGTGGGACAGGCGAGAAGGCCAGGCCTGGGCTGAAACTCAGAGGCCTTCAGGGCCGCACAGAATCCATAGTGTACGGTGCAGGAGGCAGAGGTGGTCGGGAGTGGTGAGGCTGGGGCTTGGCTGCCGAACCATGATTGTTTTCTAACGATCTTAGTGGGAATGTGGTTAAATTTCCAGGTAGAATTTAATTAACCATATCATATAAATCAGAAGATACCACTGCTATTTAAATAGACCAAAAGCTAAACCACACAAATCAAAACCTATTAAAACGAAAAAGCAATGAATCTGGATATGGTCCCAGTTACTAGGGAGGCCGAAGGGGAGAATCCTGTGAGCCCAGGAGGTCGAGGCTGCAGTGAACCATGATCATGCCACTCCACTCCAGCCTGGGTGACAGGGTGAGATCCTGTCTCTAAAACAAGAAAGAAGGAAAGAGCAATGCACATCAACAGCAAAAATTTCAAACAACACAGGTTTGATGTATTGATATGATGAAATAGCCTCACCTGAAACTCTCGATACCTATATAGATTTTTTTTTTTTTTGAGATGGAGTCTGGCTCTGCTGTCCAGACTGGAGTGCAGTGGTGTGATCTTGGCTCACTGCCAACATCTGCCTCCCAGGTTCAAGCGATTCTCCTGCCTCAGCCTCCTGAGTAGCTGGGACTACAGGTGTGCACCACCATGCCCGGCTAATTTTTGTATTTTTAGTAGAGACGGGGTTTCACTATTTTGGCCAGGCTGGTCTGGAACACTTGACCCCAGGAGATCTGCCTGCCTCGGCTTCCCAAAGTGCTGGTATTACAGGCATGAGCCACCACGCCAGGCCAAGATTTTTGCAGTGCTAACTAAAAGTATTTTATGCACACATATACGCTATTTGCTTTTGCTTTTTCAGTAAAAAAAAATTTGCCTGCTTACACACCAAGACAGAAATGAACCTTGAGGACATTACACTTAGTGAAACGAACCAGCCCCAGAGGACAAATAGTCTATGCTGCTGCTCACAGGAGGTCCCTAGAGCATTCAGAGACCAGGTAGAACAGTGGTCGCCAGGGCTAGGGAAGGGGGAATGGGAGCTAGTGTTGAGCGGGGACAGAGGTTCAGTCTGGGGGTGAGAAGAGTTCCGAGTTGGATAGTGGGGATGGTGGCACAGCAATGCGAATGGGCTTAATGCCACTGAATTAGTCTTAAATATACTTAAGATGGTCAATTTTATGTTATGTGTATTTTATCACAATTTTAAGACTTTAAAAGTTCATCTGTTCATGCATAAGTCTCATCCGTACTTAGCCAAGTCCCTTGGAAGACCCTGTGGTTTTTTTTTTCAATCATCTTTTGCAATTTCCAAATTTTTTTAATGGTCACTCCTGTAAAATAAAATAAAACTTCAGAATGCTCTACATTATTAGGCCAAGGGGGAAGGTAAGCCCGGGCACCTGATGCATGTAACCTGTTTGCTGTTCTGCTTCTGAGAGAGTAACCCTCCTCGGGCGGTTGCAATGAGCCAAGTTTGCACCACTGCACTCCAGCCTGGGCGACAGAGTGAGACTCCATCTCAGAAAAAAAAAAAAAAAGAGAGAGAGAGAGTAACCTTCCTCTTCATTGTTCCTGCTCTGTGAATGACCAGGAGAGACGACACCAGACCTCCCGCTTCAATCACTGGACTTTGTGACAGATTATCTGCCTCTTTATCGTCCCATACCTAACTCAGAGAGGATGGCACCCAGGACCCCATGATAGTTGGGTCGTCAGTGTGGAAGAAGTATACCTGTCCAGAGAGAAAAGGACCCCTCAGCTAGTCAGATCCTTGTAACGTGCATGAAGCCTTCCACAGAAGGATGCTGTAATTCTGCTAAACTTCCCAAAGCTTTGTCTAGATAAGCAATCCCAGACTTCTACACTTTGGAACACAGACTTCCATCCTCTGGATCCCTGATTGCTGGGTGGCCTGTTCTCAGCTTTGTGCTTGAAGAAGCTCTAAACCTGCTTCCGATTCTTTTGGTTATTTTGGCTTGATACTCTCCCATCACTGGCTTTAGTGGGACCATTTTCCCTACACCTGAAACTCTGTCACTCTAACAAAGGGCATCTCAGTTTTCACCTGCGTTTCTTAATTAGGAAGAAACTGTGTGTCTTTTTGGATGGTAATCATCCATCTTCTTGACTCTTTCTGTTAGTATATTTTGCCCATTTCTCTACTGAAATGTTCTAGTTTCTAGATGATTCTTGAGAACCTTCATCTGTTATATTGACGGACACTGGCTCATTTGTCAGAGCTGCTGAAAATAATTCTCCTTCTGGCCAATTTGACTTTATCATTCATTTTCCTTACATGAAAATTTAACTTCCCCTTAATGAAATGCTTTGGGGTTTAGTGTCTTGTTTAGAAAGGCATTCTGCAGCTGAAGTTTAAATATTTTTTAGAAACAAAATCTTGTGTTTTCTTCCAGTATTTTAACCCTATTTAATTTTTTAAGTTAAGAAGTCTTTATTAAAATGTAAGTCTACTTTCATAACAATTTGGGAGAAATAGGAAAAGAATGAACTGGGTATGAAACAGTCTCATAAAAAATGACAAAATAGGCCAGGCGTGGTGGTTCACGCCTGCAATCCCAGCACTTTGGGAGGCCGAGGCAGGCAGATCGCTTGAGGCCAGGAGTTGGATACCAGCCTGGCCAATACGGTGAAACCCTGTCTGTACTTAAAATACAATAATTAGCCAGGCATGATGGTGCACCTGTAATCCCAGCTACTCTGGAGGCTGAGACGGGAAGATCACTTGAACTAGAAGGTGGAGGTTGCAGTGAGCCTGAGATTGTACCACTGCACTCCGGCCTGGGTGACAAAGTGAGACCCAGTCCCAAAAAAAAACAAAATAAAATACACTACCTTGGGCACTCCACTCATGTGACATGAGTTCCCAGCATCGGAAGGTCCCTGTATCCTCCATCTGTCGAGTCCTTCAGGCTGTGTCCTGGGCCATTCCTCTCCTTTCGTCCCAGACACCTCACCAGTGCCCACAGCTTCAGTCACAGCAGATCTGCTGATGCCCTCACGTTTCTGCCTACTCTCCTGACATCTGGGCCTCTATCCACAGCAGCCACTTCAGTCTTGGCTGGGAGGTTCCCACAGGACACTGATACCCACACATCACCAATTGAGCTCCTGGCCTTCCCCCTTCTGCCAAACCTGCTCCACCCTGGCCTTGGCCATCTCAGCAAACAGCACTGTGATGCACAGGTGTCACAGTGGAGACAAGGCATCCCTGACACCCTCTTCTCTCTCATTCCACACCCAGTCAGTCACCAGATCCCACAGACTCTGCCTCTTGAGGAGCACTGGACCCATCTGCCCCTGCCACCTGCACCCTCACTGTGGTCCTATTCGCTGGTTCTCCATGATTACCCCCACCTGGACTCCCCACAACAAGTCTGGATGAGGTCCCAACCCTCCAGCCACCACCCCCTACCCCAGGCAGTAAACTCCTGGAGGGCAGGCATATTAATCATGCCTTTTACCTTCTTATATAGATGCTTTGACCTCTGGGGCCTTCCTGAGGCTAAAGGACCTTCCCTTCCATCCCCTCCCCCTAGGATGAGCCAATCCCTAGAGACAGAAAATGACTTGCCTGGAGCACACCTTTCAAACGCAAACCACACAATGCACAGCCCACACCCCAGCCAGAGCCTCTATCAGCCTTTCACTTTCAGGACCATTGATCCCTGCCCTATCCCCTCAGGGCCAGGGTCAGACAAGCAGGGGCAGCCTTGTGTCCCAGAACCCCAAAACTATTCTAGCAAATCAGCCCTACACCTGCTCACTCACCTCACTGTTCCTTCCTGTGATTCCACAGTGGAGGCTCCTGCCCACATCCTCCTCTCCTTCTGCCTCTTGGCCGACCCTGCAGTTTCTCTGGCACAGCCCTTCATGGCGCACCCCCTTCTGTCCTAGGGATCTATGAGTGAGCACCCATCTTTCCAGAGGCCTCACCACACTGAGCAATACAAAACCTGTGTTCTAAACCAGCAGGAGCCATGTCTGTCCCATCCCTCACCACC